AATGGTCCCCCCCGGCCGCGGCCGCCGCTCATTGTGCGCGGCCGGCCCGCCCGCCCAGCCCGCGGGAGGGGAGCGGCGGGGGGAGGGGGGCGGGTCCGGCTCCCGCCGCGCCGCCCCCTCCCCCGCGCAGCCCACCTCTGCAGGTGGGGGGCCGGCGGGCGCGCAGAGCCGGGTCCCCGCGGCGGAGGGGCGGGGCGAGGGGCCCGGGGCTCCCGGGCCTCCCCAGAACACGACTCCCGCAAGCCCTTCTGGAACCCATTAAGCAGCTGGGGCCTCGAGCGCGGACACACAGCGCGTCCTGCTGGAGCCTCCCGCCGGGACGGGGCCTCGCTGGGCAGCTCGGCGGCCCGCCGCCGCCGCACCCCGGAGACGCGGGGGAAGGAGGCTGTGCTGGGCTCCGGAGCGGCCCGCAACCCTTCCCAGCCTGCCGAGGCGGGAGGCGGCTCCAAAGTTTCTTTGTCTTCACCCTCCAGGGAAGATGGCGAGTGCCCTTCCTCGCCTCTTAGAGAGAAGCGCTGAGTGCGGCCGGGTCGCCGGAAGCCCTGATCGTTCCCAGGGTCTCGTTAGGCCTTGAGGGGTCAGGGCTCGGCCCGCTCGCTGCTTATGTCAGGGGAGCGCCCGGCCTTCGCTCCGCTCTCCGGGAATTTCTCCTAACGCGCAGGCTGCAGGCTCTGGGTAGACCGACTGCCTGCTCCAGCGGGCGTTCGGGGTTACAGACCGGGGTGTGGGCTGACGTGTGCTCTTGGCACGCGGGGGTGTTGGCACGAGATTCTCATTGGAGAAACTGAGGCCCAGAGTGTCTGGTCCGTAGCAGGAGTTGTGCTCAGTTCAGGGAGAGGCTGCTTCAAGCCCAGCTCTGCCCCACGGACTGAAGGAGGACAGACTCGGAGAGACCCTAACCCCTGCTGGTAAGGGTCCACGCCCCCAGGAGGGCTCTGGGGCGCACGCTGGTGCGGTGGGTCCCGCTCTGGGCCCGCTGCTCCTGGTGTGTCAGAGAGAGCCCCTCCCGCGGCAGGCTGTGGGAAGGTGAGCAACAGCCTTCCAGCTTCTCTCCCGGCAGAACGGGCTCCCAGGGGTGACGACGTGGGGTGAGGCTTCAGGAAAAAAGCAGCTGTCGTGCTGTTTGATGAAGGCGGGTGCGCGCGGGTGCTCTGCGAAGCCGACCTGGATTGCTGGGGGCGCCGCGCCTCCTGTGTTCACCCCCGAGGGTGTTCGACTTCCCGGGACTGTCGGGCTCAAATGTCCTTAACTTGTCTTTGTGACCTAGAACTTGTGGAGTCTTGCCAGCTGGGGTCTTGTAGGTACCGTGCGTTGGAAGTTGGGGGGTGGGGTCGCTGTCGGAAGGTGGACCACGGACGTGGTGGCGTGGATGGTGTGCGGGGCCGGGCCGGTGGTGGAACGCCTGAGAGCCCCCGTGGAGAGGATGGAGGGAAGGCCCTTGGCCGACGAGAAGCTGACCCCTCTTTCTCTCAACTCCCAAGTGCGGTCTTTTGGCACTGAAGACCGTCCCACAGACAGGCCGGCCCCCCCCAGAGAGGAGATCTATGAGTACATCATCTTCCGGGGAAGCGACATCAAAGACATCACTGTGTGCGAACCTCCGAAAGCTCCGCGCGCGCTCCCGCAGGACCCCGCCATCGTTCAAGTAAGCGCGCGCCTCCGCTTGGCTGTGGCGCGGCCTCGAGGGGCGCGGGTTTCCGGGCGGACCTTGGTGTCCTCTGGCGGCAGCGCTCCGCTCGGGGAATAGCCATTTAGCGAAAAGTGGTTTAACTTCTGTGTGGGCTGCTGGTGTTCCAGCACGCGGTCGTGTGCGCTGGAGAGGGAGACTCCACTTGCGTGAGAAGGGGGTGGTGGTCGGGTCTTGTCTGGGGTGTTGGGGGAATCGTTAAGTCACTAGATTGGGGTTGGGGCAGCAGGACTTGCTCTCGACACTGTCCAGGTTGTAAACACTGGTGCTTTGGGACACTGAGTTTGCAATTCTTGTAGCGTACTCCTGCCTGCTGTATAAAAGCGTAACTTTTTAAAAATTTTTATTTGACTTTTTTAAAGATGCGCTTATTTCGGGAAGAGCATGGTGGGGTTGGGGGTCCTGGGCAGAGGGAGAAGGCGACTCCGTGCTGAGCAGGGGGCCAGATGCGGGGCGGATCCCGGGACCCAGAGACTATGACCCTAGCGGGAAGGCCGTTGCTTTACTGACCGAGCCATCCGGGCACTCCCGTTAAGGCGTAATTGCCTAGGATGACCAGGGAACCTAGATTAACATTCTCTCCGCTTAGAGTTTAAATATTTCCTCGTTCCTCGGAGGTCCATACTATGGGAGGTGCTCCCTGGAGGCTAGGAGCTGGCGTGGCGGGTTCTGGGGACAAGAGGAGCAGCCCCAGGCCAAACTTAGGAAAGGTTTGCAGCGAGAGTTCTCAGGGACTCCAGAAGAGTCAGGTACCTGAGCCAGGCCCCAAGGGACAAAGGGGCCTTTTGGGAGCAACAGGCAGCAGCGTCCCTGAAAGCGTGGGGACCGGAGAAAGGCTGCTCATCTGGGAACCACGTGGCTGTAGTCCTGTGTGTCGGGGCCAAACCGAGCATGGGGCACCCGTACAGAAGCTAGACTACGTGACGACAGCGGGCGTCATTAGAGGGCTTGAGTTAGGGGAAATGGAGGTCCGAGTTACCTGGACAGGGAGTGTCGGGTATGGAATGTGGGAAAGGCAGCTTTGAGCCCCCTTTGGCCGTCCTGGAAGTGCCCCCTGCGCCCCCCCAGCCTCCAGGGATACTGGCTGAGAAACTGGCTGCCTTTCCCCATCTGAGCCGTGCTTTCCAGGCGGGTGATGGGGGGCCTTGCGCTGCTCTCATCTGTGTGTCTCGTTGCTCAGTCTTCCCTGGGCTCGGGCTCGGCCTCCTCCTTCCAGCCACACGTGCCTTACAGCCCCTTCAGAGGAATGCCGCCCTACAGCCAGCTGGCTGCCAGCTCTCTGCTTAGCCAGCAGTACGCCGCTTCCCTGGGTCTAGGTGAGTAACCGTTTCTGTCTGGAAAACTGCTCGTGCGATGACCTCCGGGAGGCAGGGCCGTAGACCCTGGTGCTGGGGACACCGGTCTTGGGATGCTCCACTTGTGTCGCATGCTTAGTACGTTACTCCGTGCGACGTGACTGGCCAGAACGCGTAGTAGCTACTCAGAGTAAAAGAGTTAGTCTGAGTTTTGGAACAGATGATTCTAATCAAAATTCATCTGAAATGTTGGTCTGGGTGGAAGTCATGGTCTATTTGCTTCAATAGGAAACAAGTGTTACGCGTGATTCCAGATGAGTTCTGACCATAGGCACGTTTGCAGGCTTGTAAACGCAAAAGTCGCGTCACCACCTCTGTTACAGTCCCCGTACTGTCCGTGCTTTGCTCCAAAGTTATTTCCCCAAAGGCGCACCAACTCTGGAATGAGGTTCTCTCCCGCACATGGAGAGTGAGGGTCTGCCTGGCCCTTGACGCAGCTTTTCCGTGTGTTCAAATCCTGGAGTCGCCAGTCGGCTCCTCGGGCGCAGGGCTTCGAGCAGGCCCTGTAGAGTGGCTCTTGGGTCTGGGTCACTTTCTAACCAAGTTGTTTTGATTGCTGCTCCGGTGTGGGTGCCTTTCTCAGCCTGGCTCACCGTGTTTCTAGAGTAGGTTTGTGTGAGCCACGTGTCCTGCGAGAGACTGCTTGGCTCTTTCCAAGCTTGCTAGACACAGGACGAGTGTCTCGTTACTTATTTGTGTACCTTCTCTTTTGCTCTTCTCTCCTCTGTCTTCTTTTAGAGAAGCTGGTGAGCCCTCCAGCCTCGGCCGCAGCTTCCAGCCCTAGTTCTTCTCCATCTCCACAGCCCGCCTCAGAGCTTGACATGTCCTCAGAACCACATCAGCTCACTTCCAAGGGTAACCGCAGTCTGGGAGAGCTGCATGCTGTCTTGCCATCCTGAGAGCAAGGGGGTAAACCAGTAGCCCAGAGTGACCGTAGCTGTAGCCAAGCCCGTGGGGTCAATTAAGCTGCTTCCATTTGATTCAATGTGTGGTCATGATCTATTAACCATCTCCCAGCGTTTTGAAGGAGAGATTGGAAAGAAGTGACCAAGCACTTGTTCACTTTCCCTGGGCCCAGGGTCTGTTCTGACCTGCACGGAGACCACCAAACATGGGAACTTTCCCTTCCCTCTCCACAGAAAGCCCTTCCCTGGGGTGTCTGCTGGTTCCAGATGTGCTCTAGATTGCTGGGTGAGGCCGCAGTGGAGGGTCCCTGAGAAACTCACCTGTTGTTTTGGGAACTGTGTGCCACATTGGTCAGCCGTAGGGGCCTGAGGGTAGCTTTGTAATGGGAAGCCCCTGCAGAACCGGGAGGCTCGCTCGAGCTACCGACCAGGCGAACGGCTTCTTAATGCTCATGCGCACCACCTGCCTCAGCCTCGCTGTGGTGCCTCTTGACCTTTCCTGATGCTCTCAGTCCACGGAGAGCTGAGATTCACGTGCCTGCCTGTTTGAGGTCGAGCACAGGAGCCCTGCCCTCGCCGCGGGGGCTCGGTCCGGGACGGCTGCTGGAGCTCCCGCTGTGGCACACCACTGCCGTCAGTCTGTTACTCTGCCTGTGTTGCTCTCTGCTCCTGCACGGATGCCGGCGTGTCCGAGTTGTGGAAGCAGTGATGTTTTTTCTCGGTTAAGTTCACATCAGACAGTTCGTCGTTCTTGGGATTGTTTGCATGAAATTGCTAAGGCAAGATGGTTTAACTGGTTTCTTTTCTCAAAAGCAAAGGAGCCTGAGCCTCTCGCACCCCGGAGGTAGAGTGCGGCAGGAGCGGTCCGTCTGGGTCTCTGGGAAGGCCCTGCTGGGCAAGGTGGCAGGCTGGGGAGGCTGCTCTGGCGTGGGGTGGGCCACGAGCAGCTTCCGTGCTGGTCATAAGGGACTTTTTCACAGGTGTTACCTTAGTGTCTGTGCCACGTGGAAAATAAGAAAGGTGGAAGAGCCGGTCTTCACGTGTGACGGGCTGCCTCTCCTCGTAGTCACTGCTGTGGTTAGGGCTCAGTTTTTCTGTGTCAAAGCTCTGGACCCCCACCCAGCACCCACCCCACCCCCCGCAGACTGTAGCGAGGAGAGGAGATGGGCCAATGCGGGCGGCGTGCCTGCCCCCTTTCCCTGCCTCCCCACCGAGGCTCGGCCTCTGAGCTCGGGGCTGCGGCATGGTAGGAACGGACGTCGTGCGCCCGCCTCCGGGGGCCGCCAGGGAGCCTTCGTTTCTTCCTGACGGCCTATCTCTCTGAGTCGGTTTTATCACCGCGGCCTTTCCGCCCTTTCCGGTGTTGTTATTCCTCGAGCGGAAACAACAGTGTTCTGGGATTTAAAGAGTGATCAGTGTTTACTACAAGATCCTGAACTGGGACGGTTCTTGTTCAGAGAGGAGTAGGATGAAATAAGTTCTCAGACGGTGAATTTGCTGGCATCTTGGAACCCACGGAGCCCCCTTGGGGTTAGAGCTTATGTGGTTTTTGGAAAGCTCGATTTGTTCCTTTGTTTTTATGTGTCCCCCTCCCGCCCTGGAAAGCTGTTTCTAAACCGCCTGGGGGTGTTCGTTGTTGGCGGAGTGTTCTCTCCTCAGCAGTCCGGTCCGCAGCTTGGGGGTCCTGGGGCTCAGGGCTCCCGGATGAACCGGCCTTGTTGCCGCCTGGCTAGACACAGGGGTGTGGTCCGGGGGGGCCTGGCTGGGATCGGGAGAATCTCCAGGCGGTTACCTTCAGCTGCCTGGCGTGCCACCCGGCAGGAGTGGCCGGAGGGGTGTGAGGTTTGCTCCTCTCTGGTTTTAAGCCCTCCTTCCCTTCCCGTCTCAGGAGCCGGTTTTCCATCCGTCCCAGTCGGCAAGAGCCCCATGGTGGAGCAGGCTGTGCAGACTGGTTCTGTTGATAACCTGAACGCCAAAAAGCTGTTACCCGGCAAGGGCCCCGCGGGGGTGCAGCTCGGCGGGCGGCCCGCGCAGCCCGGCGGCAAGAGCGGCAGCGGTACTAGCACACGTCGTCCTCCGGGGCTCGCTTCGCGTTCTCAAAGCGGCACGCTTCTTCCTGGGGTCCTTTTTCTTTCTCTCTCCTCTCTTTTTGTTTTTCCTTTTATTTTAATTGAACAGCACCAATCCCTGTCCCCATCCTAAACACCATGTGCTTTTGCAGGGCCTCCCCTTGCTGCATGTCCCCTGCGGTGGTGCCGCCCTGCGTCCGTCGCTGGGCTCCGCTTCTGCAGGCGCTCGCCTTACTCTTCCCTTTTGCGCCTTAGATGTAGCTCAGCCGGCCGCTGTGCCAAGTCAAGGGCAGGTGAATGACGAGAACAGAAGGCCTCAGAGGAGGAGATCAGGTAACAGCTGTTGCCCCTTGAGTTCTGGGGCGCCTCGCCCTGTCCAGGTGTGCTCTGCTTCCCCCGCACCGCCCCCCCGCCCTGTCTCTGGGTGACGGTTCGAGGGGGTGCTGGGGCTCAGTGTCTGCTGCTGTGTGCTCTGTTCCCTCCTTGTCGTCATGCCCCACCGAGTGAGGTCAGCTTGGTGGCTTCCCAGCCATGGCTTTCCTTTCTTCTCACAGGGAACAGACGAACGAGGAACCGCTCCAGGGGGCAGCACCGCCCGACTGCCGTCAAGGAAAACACAATCAAGTTTGAAGGCGACTTTGACTTTGAGAGCGCCAACGCCCAGTTCAACAGGGAGGAGCTGGATAAAGAGTTTAAGAAGAAACTGAATTTTAAAGGTGTTTGCTGTTATTTGGAAATTGCTGTCCGTCCAGGAGTATCTGTAGAAGCGGGTCAAGGAAAGACGGGCAGGGGCAGGGGGCATGCAGTGGGGCCGCTGGCCAGTGTGGAAGTGGCACCCCCTAAGGAGTCCTGAAGGAGCGGAGGAGCCTCGGGACCCCCCTGTGAACTGTGCTTGCGGGGGGGGGGGGGAGCAGACCGTGCGGCCCCCGGGTGGACAGGAGCAGATTTTGAGGAGGAGATTCCGCTAACGCTGAAGGCCGTCCCCCACCCTCCCGCAGCGCGACAGCTGCCAGGGTCTGCTCGGGGAGAAGGGGTGCTCGGTTCACCGCCCAGCATCCCAGTGTGTTCTTCTCCGTGCAGATGACAATGCTGAGAAGGGGGACGAGAAGGACTCGGCAGTGGTGACCCAGAGTGACGAGGCTCCCGCTGAGGAAGACCACCTGGGGCCCAACTGCTACTATGACAAGTCCAAGTCCTTCTTCGACAACATCTCCTCTGAGCTCAAGACCAGGTCAGGGGCCAGGGGAGGGCTCAGGGCTCGGGGCTCGCAAGGCCTGGACGGGCTGGCAGGAAGACCCTCATTCTGCCTCACACCCCCTGAGACCAGGGCCTGGTCTCTTGAAGACCAGCCTCCGCTCTAAGTTCAGGGCCGATCTAGGATCCTACTCACATTTTTGCCACATGGGCATCTCGGTCCTCGTGGCGCCAGCAGGTGGCAATTTGGAAACCCCCGGCAGTCACGGGGACCTGGGGAGTCGGCTTCTGTCTTGGCTTTGCAGCCCCTTTGTCCATTAAAGCTGGGGTGGGCACTGCCCTCCCCAGCTGAGCTCGTCCTGGCCCATTCCTGTTCCCAGTGGACCCTGGGGGCCCGAGGCCTTGCTACTCACAGCAGCCAGCCAGGGTTCTGTTTTGGGGGGGGGGTCTTTCGTCTGGTTGCTGGAGGCTGGGGACCCTGTCGTGCGTTTTCAGTGCCATGCAGCTGGTGCTTGGATGTTGCCATGCGAGTGAGCAGAGTGGTGAACAGGGTCTGTAGGACGGGCACATCGTGGAAGTCGGAGCGCCAGCCACACTGCTGGGCGGCGAGGAGCACACACCGCACAGAGCAAGCTGGGAGTCCTGACTTGCCCACGTCTCTGGCCTGGCAGGGGAAAACCGATAGAAGCATGAGCAGGTCTAGGATAGAAATGCCTCAGGGAATGGGAGGGGAGGGCTGGGCAGCGGGAAGGTAAAGGTCAGTTGAATGTGGCGACCTCACCGCATGTGGTGTTTGGGAGCCAGTGGAGTGGGGAGCAAAGGAAGCTGCTGTGGACAGGCCGCCGGGGCGGGGCCCGTCGGTCCGGGATGAAGGGGACGTGTGCGTGGGGGGGCTTGGTAGCAGTAGGTCACAGTGACGAGCAGGAGAGCCGTGGGCAGCTGTCAGGGCGGGAGCTGGGGGGCGATGCCGTCCGACCCCTCGGCGTTCTCTGGCGAGCGTGTTGAAGGTGGGGACGGGCGCGGCTGGGCATAAGGTGGTGGTGGCGGGTGAGGGGAGAGCTCGGCTTCCGAATGCACGTGGAAGAGGGGAGCAGACAGGGTGTGCTGACAGCATGTGGGGAGAACCAGCACGACTCTGGGTTGCTGGCCAGAAGGGCTCAGCTGCTGGTTCTTCTGAGTGAGGCCTGTGGGGACCATAGAAGAGGAACTCAGTGCTGGTGCAGGGCCCGTGAGCGGCCCAGAAACAGACACAGAGCTCCTCTCCTGAGCTACGGAGGTGGGTGTCAGAGCATCTGTGGCGTGAAGGACGGCAGGACAGCATGCAGTTTTGGTGCCATGTCCCCACTGCCCCCAGAGCGTGAGCATCGCGTTCTCGGAGACACTGTTCCATCTAGCCCAACCCCCTCCTCACTTGTCTGAAGGGGTCCATCACCTGCTCTGGGTCCTGGAGCCCACAGGGGCCCTGCCTCGCGTGGCATGCTCACCTTCATTGGTAAAAACGAGAGTTGATGCCGAAGCGGCCCCGTGAGAAACAGACCTGGTTGGAGATGTGGCTGGGAATGGCTGTGGCGCTGGCTCCGGGGTTGCTGGGCCGGGACCGGGTCATCCCCTCTGCTGACTCCAGTAGCAGCCCCCACCTGTCGGGCTTTCTTCCCTCTTGGGCTACATGAGGCTGGGGCCTGGCTCGGAAAGGGGTGAGCAGGGACCACTGCCGTTGGTCTCACGCCCCTGTCTGTGCTTCAGTTCCAGGCGGACTACGTGGGCTGAGGAGCGGAAGCTCAACACAGAGACCTTTGGGGTGTCGGGAAGGTTTCTTCGTGGCCGTAGCTTCAGGGGTGGATTTCGAGGGGGCAGGGGCAACGGTACAACCCGGCGCAACCCAACTTCCCACAGAGCTGGGACTGGCAGGGTGTGAGGATGCCGCCTGCGGTGAGTGAGGGAAGGAAGTTTCTGGGCCCTTTGCAGGGAGAGTGTTGGGGTGGGAGGGCCCGATAGCCAGCCTCTCTCTTCAGGAAGAGCTTAGGAGCCCGGAGCAGCTGGCTCTGGCTTCCAGTAAGAGCCCGGATGAGGGCCTCGACCCTCCCGGTCACCCAGGGGCCTCCTAGGGAGGGCAGGCCCCAGTGTTGTCAGAACGTGGTTAGCAAGGACACTTGTCCCAAGCCAGCCTCCCTGCTCTAGCCTGCAGGGACTCCGGGACTGCCAGTGACTTGTGTGCCCCGTGAGTCTGGGCAGTGAGGGGGTTACAGGTGTGCCTAGAGCTGACCTGCCTCATCCAGGTTGGGATCTGGAGCTCCCTCTCTGTCCCCCACGTGCACAAAGATGATTTCTATCCTCGGTTGTGATTACAGAGTCTGGGGAGCCCGGGCCTGACTGGAGTGCAGCGGGGGGATGCACACCCCGTCCTCCCTGGGAGTCTGCGTGCCTGGCTCCTGCGGGGCGGCTGCCTCGGGGAGTGCTGGCTGAGCGTACTCACTTGGTGTCCTGTCCCCTTCTCATAGGCGCCTGTGGAAGTCGCACAGAAACAACGCTATGTCTGAGGATGTTGGAAACGCTGCACTTATCGGGGACACGGGGGTCACTTTGTTTATGGAGTTTGGAAAATTCCCGTACTACTACTTGTGTTTTGAACTTAATTGAACTTGGACATGGTCTGAGTTAGAACCACTTGTTTTGGGGGAAGTATCCGTGGGTGACCTCTTAGAGGTATTTTGGCCTGTTTTTTCTCTTTAGTTGCACACAGCCTGATTCTAAGGTTCTGGTATTTTGGAGAAAGGTTTTAGAGCAAAAGCTTGATCCTTATTTTGTGACTTTTCTTTGTGACAGCTTTGATTTTTTTCGAACGGAACCAAATCCCATTTGGCAAATGTGGCAGCCAAGTGTGTATCTCTATAACCCAACTGGTCTCTGGTGCTGCTGGCCTGGCACCCCCATGGCCACAGGTGGGGGGTCTCAGGAGCCACGCGGGGCCAGCATGGGAGCGTGTGGGGGTGGGTGGGCGTTAGGGCAGGGAGAGTGGGGTGTCCCACGGATCATGTTGTATAAGCAAACCAGACAGCCCTTACATCCAGAGTGGCGATGTCAAGGTTTAGAGCTGGTGGGTTGGGGCAGGGGGGGTGGTGCAGGGAAGAAGGGGGAGTCCTGGAGGCTTAGGAAGGGGTCCTGAACTTAAGCTAGGAACTGTTGCTCGGAGCCTGGCTTCCATAGGAATCGGGGATGGGGGCCAAAGCCCAGGGACCTGTGGGGTCCCTGTCCTTCCTGCCCCATCCCTGCCATCCCCAGACCCAGGCTGGTCAGTATTGGACTCTGGCCACTGTTCAGTGTCTCATCCCCTTGGAAATGAGCCAGTCTTTTTTGCAAGGTCGGTTGACCTAAAACATTATTTCTCCTCAATTGTAAATAGTTGCGTTTTTGTTTTACGGTGGGTGGAGGGTGGGTGGGGAACATAAATTCGTTGCATGAGTAAATGGGTCAGACCTGTAGTGTGAGCATGCGCCCTTCTGCCGGAGAGGGCACTGTGTTGAACATAAGCACCTTGGTAACTAAACCCCCTTAAATAGCTGCAAAGGTTTTAGTTCTGTATTGATTCAGTTACTGTAAAAGCTTGGGTTTATTTTTGTAGGACTTAATGGCTAAGAGTTAGAACATAGCAATGGGCTGCTCTGTTGGAGTAATGTAAATTGTAATTATAAATAAACATGCAAACCTTTACAACTTTTTTCTTCTCTGCTCTTAAATAGTTCTGTTGATTGTGCAGCCTGAGTCACATCTTGTGTGACATGCCCGTCCTGAGGCGGGAGATGTTATTCAGGCCTCAGGCTGGTAGGACCTTGGGGGACGCCTGCTGCCCCTGCGTGAGCTGACCGCTGGTCTGGAGGAAGGTGCGAGTCAGCCCAACTTCACAGTGGGCCACCCTGGCTCTGCCTCCCAGACACTTGGGGCACAAACTAGTTTTTAAAAATTCAGTTCACAGATACACCTGCTTCAGAAGCCATTCTTTTGCTGCTTTGCCGTGGCCTCTGAGCTCCGCAGAGCTTGCCTGTCCTTGGTGCCATTGGGCCTGTTACAGGCCTTGACCCGGCACCATGTGCCTGGCCTGGGTTTCTGGCTGACTCTGAAAGCAGTGTCAGAGGCCCAAGGCCTGTCCCATCTTGCCATGCCTGCCTGGCGTTCTCTCCGGCCCCGAGCAGGACTGGACAGCAGGGAGTCAGGTCTGCAGTGTCGGGATTTCAACAAATTCTGGGCAACCTTCCTTTGAAGGAGGTGGGCAGACAAGGAACATTCTTGGCCAAGAAGAAATGAGAATCATCCGTCGCGTGCGTGCGTGCTGGACGCAGGTGCCCAGGGCGTGAATTCTAAACAAAGTAGGGGACTCAGCAGTTGCCCTAGGCCGGTATTTATTAGCGAATCCAGATGTAGTCAAGTCCGTTTGCCACTGACTACTTTTGCTGTCAAAGCTTGAAGCTGACATGTTGACAATTACATAGTTTATGCTGCGCTTTACTGAAACCTTCCTGGGCCTCTGTATTCCCTTGAGAAGAGAGTGTGTATGTGTCATTCAGTGAGAACTCAGCAAGAGACATACGACTGACGTGCAGAGCAGAGCCCTGGAGTCCTAACAACATGGCTGGAAGGGGAACCAGCCCACAGACACGAAGAGCCCTTTATGCCATGTCCTCGGGGCACAGGGAGATGGGGGTATGTCAGCAGGCCTGATAGCAGGGCCTCCTCTGAAGCCACAAAGCTGGGGATGGAGGGAGTTAGAGTCTCTGGTACAGACCCAGCCGGGGACCAGGACCGAGGCTGAAGGCTGGGTCGTCACTGGCTACAGTGAGAGCGGGCAGGGGGCCGTTAGCACCAGGAAGCTTAGGAACGTGAAGACTGGATCTGCTACAGACCAGACCACGGGACTTGTCCTGAACAACGCTGCTGCTTTGCAGGATTTTGAATTCAAACACTTAAACTGCGTGCTGTTTGCTTTTGTCCTCAATGTTCTGCGTGAATTAGGAAACTGAGTGAAGGTCTGTAAGAAGGAACGAGGTCAGTCTGGTTAGAACCTCTAATGGGGGGAAACTTAAGAGTTTTCTGTGTCCGTGTGAGATGCCACACGCCTGTCGACAGAAGCCGTCGCGGTATGCAAGCCCTCCTAGAGCTGCCTGAACTCACCAGGAAGGCAGACACCCCCTGCCCACCACAGTGGCTTGCCGTCTGGCGACAAGGAACATGAAGCATGGAGCGCTCCCACTGAGGGCAGCGCTCGGAGACACAGAGCAAGGGGAAGACGCCTCTTTACAGAGCAGTCGTAACTGCACCAAGACACAGATGCTCTTACGAAAAGGTTAACAAACACAGAGATTTATTGCAGGACACATGGACAGTAATAAATGGAATGCAAATGCCTACATATCCTCGAGAATCATCCATGATCTGAATTTTAAAAATCACTACAAGATTTCATCATCATGATGCTTTCTTCTGTTTCTTCTTTTCATTCTCTTCTTTCTCTTTTTCAATCTCAGCAACATATTTTTCAATTTCTTCAGGATTTAAAATCTACCGAAGAAAGTTCATGGTTACCCCCAGCCACACGAGGTGCCCCAGAGCAGCACTGCCACTTTTGGGGAGGGAACTTCTGGGCTCTGGCCAGACCGCGCCTCACAGCCGCTGCTACAGGAAAACCAGGCTGGGTGCGCCTGAGCCAGGTGACAACGGTCAGAGCTGCCTACAGGTGACTGCGAAGCAGAAGCAAATCCGCCCAACTGCCAACACTTTCTCAGTGTGCCAAGCGAACCTCATTTGTGGGGGGCTTTGAGAGAACCTCCCTCCTAGCACTCACGCCGCAGGACCAGGGTACCTGTCCCCTGCATCACCGGGAATGCTCCAGAGTGAAAGACCGCAGATAACTTCGTGATTACCTTGAGGGGCTGATCTCGCCTCATGACAGCCAGTTCGATGTTTTTGCCGCCAGACTGAACCACCTGGGAAGAAAGAGTAACGTCAGATACTTCTTCCTCCTCAAGGCCACACCGCTCTGGCAAATGCCTCAAACACTGCTCGAGAAGAGAGGGCAGGACACCCTACAGCCCCACCCCAAAGCTTTTGTCCTAACTGCAGGGCAATTCCCCCAACCCCCCGCATGCCTCCTGTAGCCCCTTCCACAGAGCAGCTATGCTCACCGCTCTCCCCACCACTGAGCCCCAACAGCTGGCCCCTAGCTCAGCCTTCTGCCCCCCCACCCCACCCTGGCCAACACCTCTGAAGTGCGGACATAGCCCCGTGCCCCATGCCTCCTAACCATTATTCCCAGTTCTAATTCCTCAACCTTAGCAGCAGCAGGAACCCAGCAAGGCTGAGGGAGGGCTCTGAGTCACAGAGTCCACACCTGGTGGTTCCTGTCCTGCCTCAGCTTCTCCCTAGCTGCGTGCTCTCAGACGAGTTCTGAGATTTGGTCCCTGCCTGCTGCGGCTGTGGAGAGGAGCCGCTAGAGCACCGGGGCAGTGGGCAGCCAGAGCAAGCCCTCAAGGGCCCAGCATCCCCGAGGCTCTCGGTGCCTCCCTTCCTGTCACTGGTACACCGGCCACCCACTGCTGGGCCATCTGTTCTGCCCACCCCAAGCACCAGGTTTCCAAGGCGAACGCACTTCCAGGAGGGCCTTGATAACCAGCTTCACGGTCAGGTCGTCCGTCTCAATGGCTTCATCAGTGTAATTCTTCTCTAGAAATTCACGCACTGACTTGGCGCCCCGGCCTATAGCATTGGCCTGAAGCAGAAATGTGTGTTATACGGTACAGGGTACAACAACCCAGAGCCAGCCCAAGAACACAGCCATGGCTTCCTTTTCCTAAAGGCTAAGAATTTGGATTTGGTGCTGATCCTTACCAAGAGTCAGATTATGGTTACCGGGCAGCGGGGAGTCAGTCTGCAATGTCAGACCTGCAGCGTCCTCACCAAGAGTGCGAATCTTCATCACTGAGAACACGTGGGCAATTTTACTTCATACCATGTATCCCCACGCCTATCCTTGAACTTCCTCTCAAACAGCAAGTTCCTTTCTTTTTTTTTCCTTTTTTTCTTTTTTTAAGATTTTATTCGACAGCTCACAAGTAGGCAGAGGCAGGCAGAAGAGAGAGCTGGGGAAGCAGGCTCCCCACTGAGCAGAGAGCCCGATGTGGGGCTCGATCCCAGGACCCCGGGATCATGACCTGAGCCAAAGGCAGAGGCTTAACCCACTGAGCCACCCAGGCACCCCTTAAACACTAAGTTTCATGTTCTTTGCTCCTGTACCAGCAGAAATACCATGAAACAGAAACGCAGCGTGGGACGTGCGCACCGGCACTGGGAAGACAAGGCCACCCTGAGCCACCAGGAGGCCTAGCACCTTCCAAAGGCCTCTGAGACTTCCTTTACTGGCAAGACCCCCCGAAGACCCTCTGTCTGGTCAGGGACTCACCTTCCAGGCGTGGTATGTCCCTGAGGGGTCAGTCTGATAGAGTCTGGGGGTGCCATCAAAGTCGAAACCCACAATAAGGGCAGAGATGCCAAACGGCCTGCGCCCGTTGCTCTGTGTGTAGCGCTAGTGGGAAAAGGAGCACGTTAATGCTTCTTAGTGTGCAAGGCCCCTGGAACCGACCCTTAGCAACACATACAATGTTTGAAGCAGCTGTGCCGCCCCTGAGGGGATGGGGGACGGGACGGGGATGCTCTCACATTATCTGCCAGGCAAGTGACGAGTGAGCCGAGGCCCAAGCACTCAGCGGTCCTCCTTCCCTCTGTGTGTTCTTACTCGGAAGGACGTGAAAGCGAAACTGTGACCAGAACTGCGTCACAGAGCACAACTAAGGCCACTGAAGTACTTGACAACAGACAATCTTCTGGCTACACAGTTGGGTTTTAAAACGACCAGCGTTTCACCACAGCGTGGGGTGGCGTTCAGCATCTCCCAGGTGCTGGGTAATGAGTCAAGTGGGGCTTCGAAACAAAAATCCCCATTTCCTTCCAGAAACATGAATTTGGACCGTCCCATCCACTAAACGGAAGAATACCAGCAAAGCGGCTAAGCCGTAGAAGTTACGCTTGTAGGAATAAAGAGCGGGACCGTGCATGAAGTCCATGCGGTTTTCTGATTCCCCTGAAGTGACACGTGCAAACACCGACACACGGTAACTTGAGCTACTGTGGCAGAACGTCGTGTGACCCAGCAGGGACTGCTCTGTAAGCAGAGCTGAGCCACAGGCAAGGACCCACCTGCTTCAAACTGGCGATGTAGCGGGTAATATACTCCACGGTGACCGGGTCCTCCACAGTCAGCCGGTGGCTCTGGCACTCCACCCGGGCCCTGTTGATGACTATCCTCGCGTCAGCGGTGAGCCCTGCCACGGCAGAGAATGCTGCGTGACCCAGGCCTCGTCTCCAACGGACGACGGCCCAAGTCACGTGACCAGGCAGAAGCCGACTTGAACCGTTCCTGACACCCAGCTCTGAGGTCATCTGGGTGACTGGCAGTGGAACCATCGGCCTCTGTGAGCAGCTCAGACCCAGCCAGTTAATCCCTAGTTCCGTCGGGTCAACTGGGATCTTCCCACAGTGGGCCAGCAGGGAGGAGTGCAGGAAGCCAGACTGCCTCGAGGCTGGAACTCCAGTCCAGTCGCCCGCTGCTGACAGCACAGGCCTGGTCCAGAGGGCGCCCTAATAAGCATGGTGAAGCTTCTCTCCCGCCACAAGTCTCAATCTACAGTCTTTTTTTTTAAAGGTTTTATTTATTTATCAGAGAGAGAGAGAGAAAGAGGGAGAGCGAGCGAGCACAGGCAGACAGAATGGCAGGCAGAGGCAGAGGGAGAAACAGGCTCCCTGCAGAGCAAGGAGCCCGATGTGGGACTCGATCCCAGGACGCCGGGATCATGACCTGAGCCGAAGGCAGCTGCTTAACCAACTGAGCCACCCTGGCGTCCCTCAATCTACAGTCTTAAAACGATTTTTAGTTTACCAATTTATGTATCTTCCAAGAGCAAACCCACCAAGATGGCTTCCAAAGGGCTGATCTTTACTGACCTCTGAGAAATGGGGCACTGGCCCCAGACTCACCTGCAAATGCCATGCAGACGTTGTCATCCAACGCACAGATCTTGCGCACGGTTCTCTCATCCTGCAGTTTGGCCACAGACTTCTTCTCCACGCCCAGAACAACGATGTCCTTTCCTCGCACGCCAACCTTCAATAAAAATCAACACGGTGCTTTCGAAAGTGACCAGAGGTTCTCCCCGCAGGCACAGGGCGGCAAGCCGGTGGTCATGTGGCTGGACACCACACCCTGCGGATCACGGATGCTGACCCGATTCTGGCAGAGCTGGCCCAGGTGCATGACTGAGGTGCCCAGTCCCGAGCCTTCAACATACTGACACAGTTTCCATTACAATATGATAACTAGCTACTGTATCAAAGAGTCACATAACAGGCTTTTAAGTCTGAAACCCTGACATTCAAATCAGGTGCTCTGAAAGCAGTGTTTTTGTAGTTGTGCAATTACACACTCACTCTACTCTCTCCTCCACTGTGACCCACTGGTATGCACACTGTGGGGAAGGCCTGATTTGCTGTCAGGTGGAAGGACGACTACAGTTGTTCCTGAAAGTCAACTGCTCTGTGTATGGCACATAACACAGAGGAGAGAGAGAATGAAAAATGTGGGAAAATGCCCAAGGACCAGTTGACTGCCCCTGTCAGGGAAGGAGCAGAGGAATGGAACAACGCTTGGAGGACCAGTAAGACTCTGCTTGGAGATTTCTCAGCAGGGGTACAATGGGCAATGGGGCTGCCCTGCCCACCTCTACCCCAGAGGTCAGCCAGTAGCACTTCCCAGTCTCAGGCTAAGAAAAACGGCTCCACCCACTGCCAAATGCCCCCTGGGGTGCAAACACCCCCCACCCGCCCCCGCAATTGAGAAATACTTGTCAGCACTGTTTCACTTTTTTTTTTTTTTTTTTTTTTTTA